AGCAAGATGTTATGCAGGAAAGGACTTTATCTTTTTTAAAAAATTTGTATTTATTTATCTATTTATTTGATACAGGGCCTTTCTACGCAGCTCAGCATCATGATTCTCCTATCTCAGCCTCCCCATTGCTGGGATTACAGGGGTGTGCCACCACACCCAGTCTCATGGCCAGCACGGTGCACCCAGGGTTCTAGGGCTGGAATGTAATATGGTAGCGGGGGTTGAACTCAGGTCCTTGTACTTGCCAGGCAGGCGCTTAGCCAACCGAGCTTTCTCCCCAGCCCAGGAAAGGGCTTTCAACCTAGTTTCTCTAGCCCTCTCTGGACTGTGCTCTTTATTTTTGATGATGTTGACAGTTTTAGGGAAGCTGGTCATATATATCGTGCTCCTCAGTTCGGCTTTGCTCTTATCTTTCTTATGTTGCTTTATGATATCTTTGGTTCTGTAATTGGTATCTTTCCTCAGGAGCTGTTTTTTCCTTATGTGGCTTGTCCCTATTTGATTTTTTATTGTAGCATGATCTTATCTATACTTAGGAGCCCCTTCTTTGCCCCCCCCACCCCTAGTGGTTGCTGGGGGGAAGGTTTGTCAGAGCCGGCTTTGACAAAAGCCTAGAATATTTCCACTACCCTAGATCATTTGCTATGCTAATCTCTTTATTCGGGGTCTCTGGGACAAGACAGAGGACATGACTTGGTGCCCTTACAGAGCTGTGTGGGATGGTGCAGGTCTAGTGTGTTGCTATCTCCCAGGTGACTTACCTCGCCTGTACCTCAGCTACCCACCCAAGATGCTGGAAGAGAGGACAAACTCCCCGTGCTGGCTCTTGCACCAGACTCACAGACCTAGGGCTGGGGAGATAGCTCAGTAGAATAAACGCTTGCCTGGCAAGCGCAACAGCCTGAGTTCAATCCCCATTCTGCCAAAAAAAAAAAAAAAAAGACTCACAGACCTGCGTGTAGCCAAGTGATACCTCCAAGCCCTAGTCATCCCGCCAGGACCATTTGGCTCCCTGATGATCAGGACCAGAGACATGCCTCTGTCCCCTTGAAGCTGCGTTTGCCACCCTGCCTCGGTTCCTCGCTGTGTCTCAGCATTGGCATGTCCCTCTCCTTATCCCCTGGCAGTGGGCTACAAGCCAGTTCTGTTCCCCGGTTTCTTTACAGTGGGCCACGGATGCCGGCTGAGCTCCCCATGCTACTGGAAGGGCTAGTGGCAAACTAAGTATCCTGGAAGAACTGTCACACGTAGCAAGCTCTCTGCACTGACTAGCACAGTGGTTAGAAGCACACAGTGGTACTCCCTGAAGAATGGATGGGTTAATTAATTAATTAATGGGAAGAGTGCTCATAAGAAGGCTAACCATCTGCAGCCTGCTGATCCCTTACCCAAAGCTCTGAATGAGCTTGGGAGATTCCAAGCAGGCAGAGTGCAGGTGCAGGGTCCCCCTGCTCAGTGTCCTAGGCCCCAGAGGCCCCGCCTCATGCTGCCCTGTTCAACCCCAGGGTCACCAGGATTTCACCAGCAGCTAACCCACCTGGGCTGCTCTCTAACTTCCATCCTTTTACAGTTTTTCCACCGTCTCCACCTCTTCTGGACAGAGTGGGCAGAGAGCACACGGGAGTGGACGTCACACCAGTGACCCAACATGTGTCTCAGGCTAGAGATGCAGATGGTGACCTAAGGCCCTGCCTCGGAGCAGGCGGCCCATCTCCTGCCACCTCCTGAGTGCCTCCCACTGCAGACCCCATACCTGGGCTCCAGATCCGCAGCCCCAGCGTGGCGAGGCTTCACCATACAAGCAGGTTCCTCACGCTGCTGACCACCTCTTTGCTGAGTGCTCTGCGGCTCTGCCTTCTAGTCCATCACGTCTCCCCTCCCCCGGCCGCCCATGTGGGGAGTTCTCACTTCCCCCTCCTCTCTGGTCCCTCTCCCCTCATGAAACCTGGGCTGGGATTTGAGCGAAAAGAGGAGATGCTCTGCGCCTATCAGCCAAGAGTAAGGCCGCCATATTGGGAAGGGAAGAAGCTCTCCTGCAAACTTGGTGGGAGCTTCCAGGTGGGGGAAGGAGGCTGAAGGCTAGGGCTACAGAGCGAGGGTCCTGCTTCCTCACTCTGTCAGTAGGCTTCACTATAGGGACCCACCCCAATTTCTCTGTATACAGAGGTCTTAACGGCAACAGAGCTCCAACTCTACCCCAGGCTATCACAGGAGATAGAAGGGTCCGGTGTGGGGTCTACGGAGCCCCCAGTGATCTGCCAGTGATGTATATGCAGCAGAGGGTCTCAAGTGGCTGAAAATGTCAAGGCCAGAGGTCCAACCCCACCCCAGCTCTTGAATGCCACTGAGGTTTATATAACGCCGAGAATCTGTCTGGGGGAAGGGAGAGGGATTGGACTGGAAATGTTTCTGCTCCACTTCCTTCAGAAATATTTACGCAGTTTAGCAGAAAGTGTAGGCGACAGAATCGAGGGATATGCAAGCTGACATGGAGATGTCACAGGGGACATGGTGCCACCAGACAGAGCCTGGCCTAGGAGCATGGCGCTGGGGGCCTGGCTGTCGCTCGCGGACACAGACCTGGTGTAGTCGGTACACTTCCCTGCACTCTGGGAAGACCCGGCCTTTGGTTGCTTTTAAGGTCAGCCGCTCCGGGCTCTCTGCCCCTCTGGACACAGCCCGACTCTGAGGTTCCTGGTGCTCTAATGATGTCAAGATCAAAACAGCTGTACTAAGGGGCAGAGAATCAAGCTGCCTACCCAGACCCTCACTGGCAGAGCAGTCTACCGGGTTAGGAGTCACCCTCAGCCCTTTGGGCAACATGGCCTGCATGCTAAAGGTCCTTCCTTCCTTTCTCCTCTGCCACCTCTTTTCATTCTCACACTGGGCATCATTTTCACGGTGGTGCGGAAGATGAGGATGGAAGAAAAGGCGAGGGAGTCTGAGAGGCAGGCATAGGAGCTGAAAACAGGAAACATCTGACCTGAAACATGGCGGCACCCCACATGTGTTTGGAGCTTCTTGGATCAGACCCTGTCTCTGTGCATCAGCAGAGGCTGCACTAACCACAGTGGGGGTGACACCTCCGCCAGAGAAACACAAGGGGTCATGCAGACAGAGTTCTTGTGGGGCATAAAGAAGCCTCTTGCTAATTCAGCACCCCGGGAAGGACAGCAAAGGAGGCACAAGGGAGTGAGCTCTCCACACCCACGGCTGACAGGGGTAGGTCTGCCGGTCACGTTCACATTCCAGTTCCTTTTGGGCTGGGGAGGGCGGGCTTCGGGATGCTGCAGTTTAGGGGTAGTGAAGTTATCTCGACGTTCTCGAGCCAACTGACTTGATGTCTTTTTTATTTATTTATTTATTTACATGTAGTGTGTGTGTGTGTGTGTGTGTTTGTGGCCAGCTCAGCCCACCAGGGGGCGGGGCTGGCTGGCATGTGGTTCTGGGGGATCGAACCACGGTCCCTGTGCTTTGCCAAGCTTGTTCCAAGTAGGTGCTTTAGACCACTGAGCCATCTCTCCAGCCCTGACTTGATGTCTTAAAGCAACAGTGAACACAAGTGGCCTCAGGCAGTGCTTGTGTTCTCTGGACTCACTGCAGCTCTTGCCATTTCCAAGTCAGGACGCAGCTGTCGCCACGCATTCTTGTGTCCTGTTAGGCTCCACAGACAGGTGATTTGTGGGCCTGTAAAGGCTCCATCCTGCTGTCCCTCAGCTTGGATGGTGTAGGAGCCAGGGTCTTATGGGACTGGGTGGGCCATGTCAAGCTCACCTCTGTGACATCTAAAGGAAATCATGTGACCCCAAGTCATAACTTTACACAAGCTATGCTCATTTCAAGGGAAGCCCATGAGAGCAAACAAGTCAAAGGCCGTGAGGGTCTTTGAAAGGTGAGCTTTCAAAGTAGAGTTGGCTCAGTCAGCCAGCAAAGTCATGCCAAGGAACCCTGGAGGAGGGGTAGGTCTCCCCAGGACAGTAGGTGGAGACAGGAAGCCAACTCTGCAAAAGCTGTGTGTGCAGATCCTGAGAAACCCCAGGGCCCAGACATCAGAAGGAGCCAAGTCCAGGCTGCAGGTGCGCCTGGGTGTTACTAGCAGATAGATGGGCAGTTACTAGCAGATAGAAAGGAACAGAGGAGCTGGCCCAAGGAGGAGGAGAAAGAGTGCTCTAGGGACATCGACACTGGAGGATGGGTTAGAGGTGGAGAAACACACAAAAGAGCCAGGGGCAAGTCTAAAAGAGCACCTGGAGGAATGAGTGAAGAAAGGGGG